AGTGGCACTGTCTAGAAGACAGGAGGCTGAGCTGGAGGTGGCAAAGATGAAGATGCTGAGATTTGTGTTGGGAGTGACGAGGATGGACAAGATTAGAAATGAGAAGATCAGAGGGACAGTGAAGGTGGAGCAGTTTAGAGATAAAGCTAGAGAAGCCAGGTTGAGATGATTTGGACATGTGCTGAGGAGGGATAGTGGATATATTGGACAAAGGATGTTGGAGATGGAGCAGCCAGGCAAAAGAAAAAGAGGAAGACAGCAGAGAAGATTCATGGATGCATATAAAAAGGACACGGAGATGGTTGGTGTAACAGTAGAGGAGGCAAGGGATAGGATGAAATGGAGGCAGATGATCCGCTGTGGTGACCCCTAAAGGGAGCAGCCGAAAGACGAAGAAGAAGTTAGCAACTGCGCATGTCAGTGCTTCTTTTCTGAATAAAAGCCCGGTGCACGTAAACACTCCTTTGCACAAGTTAATAGTCTACTAACTAAGTTTAGGACTGCATGATGTCCATTTTTATAAATAAGATGCATCTTCATTGTCCTGGCTGACAATTTTGAGTCGAACATGTGTGTTCCCCTTTATTGCTTATAATATATAATATTAAAAACTCGACTAAAACCATTAAATATAGAAATGACTAAAACTGACTAAAACTAAGAAGTATTTTTGTTCAAAAGACTCAGACTAAGACTAAAATTAAAACGGCAGAGAAGGCACCCTACCCTTTTCCGGCTCAAGACCATGGTCTCGGATTTGGAGGCACTGATCCTTATCCCGGCCGCTTCACACTCGGCTGTGAACCGCTCCAGTGAGAGCTGGAGATCACGATCTGATGAAGCCAATAGGACCACATCATCCGCAAAAAAGCAGAGAAGCAATCAATGTCACCAAAATGGATCCCCTCAAACACCTTGGCTGCGCCTAGAAATTCTGCCCATAAAAGTTATGAACAGAATCGGCGACAAAGGGCAATGTTGGCAGAGTCCAACTCTCCCCAGAAACGAGTGAAACGACTTACTACTGTCAATGCGGACCAAGCTCTGGCACCGGTTGTACAGGGACCTAACAGACCATATCAATGGGCCAAGTAGCCCTTACTCCCGGAGTACCCTCCACAGGAGTCCCAGAGGGACATTGTCAAATACCTTCTTCAAGACCACAAAACACATAGACTGGTTGAACGAACTCCCATGCACCCTCCAGGACCCTGCTGAGGGTGAAGAGCTGGTCAGCTGTTCCACAATCAGGATGAAAACCACACTGCTTTTCTGAATCCGAGACTCAACTATTCGACAGACCCTCCTCTTCGGGACCCCTGAATAAACATTACCGGGGAGGCTAAGAAGTGTGATCCCCCTACAGTTGGGTCTGCTAAGACTGCCGATACCTATCGGCTGCTTCCGGAGTCCCACAGGCCAAAAAGTCCCGATAGGACTTCTTCAGCCTGACAGCATCCCTCACCACTGGTGTCCACCAGCGGGTTTGCCAAGGCCACTGTTACCTATTTAGTATTTAGGTAAGGTGGTGGATAAGGGAATGCTCAACCAGTGAAAGTCAAGGTGATGACAAATGTGCAGTATCCTGTTCCAGCAACGAAAAAAGAACTCCAGCGGTTCCTAGACCTTATGGGTTATTACTTTTGTGAAAACTTTTCTACTGTGGTTGCTCCTCTGACAGATCTGATGAAACATGGGGTGAATTACATCTAATCACCTTCTTATCAGAAAGCTTTTGATGTTAAATTTGTTCTCTATTCTCTCCCTGTTCTTTCAGCTCCACGCATGGATCGTCTTTTTGCTTTTTGTGCTAGTGATGTAGGTGCAGGTGCTGTTATTTCAGAGTGATGATTGTAGGGTCGATCGACCTGTGAGTTTTATGGTGCGTTCACACCGAACGCGATTTCAGCGTCAGGAGCAGCAGGTTTACATACAAAGTCTATGGTGGACGCGCTTCAAGCAACGTCGGGAAGTGCTGCGGCGCCTCAAGTAAATAAAGCAAAGCCACTTCCTCGTCCGACAGAGGAGGGAGGGGCGGGGAGGCTCTGCCGTGCAGCGCTTCAA